ATGTCTAGCTTTACATTATGAGGACTCAATGAGGCATTTTTGAACCCGTCCAGTGTTTTCCTTATCAGCCTTTCCAGTACTCCACATTCCGCTACCTTGGAAAGAATAACTGCGATATTTGCTGCTAATATTATTGAAATGCTTGCCTTCTGAAATAGAGAAAATACGCAGCTGTAGGAGCATTACGGTGTTTGCTTTAATTCCACGCAGTATGAAATCGTTTCAGCCTCTCTATAGTTACGGTAATGTCCTCCTAATAGCATCCTTAGAACAAGCCCTAATTCTTAACCTACTGGGCAAGCTCTTAAATTTATTCACAAAAAGATCATCTCGACTGCATAAAAAGGATTTGGATTGGATTCTTCACAGCTGTCAGAATTTGATCCTGCGATTTTGCAAATCAAACTTTGCTGATGCTCAACGACACTCCCCATAATGAAGCTGGTTCTGGTATTCCGCTTAAAAATCTAAGTAGAGGTGTGATGTTGAGCGATAGTAAAATTAAATAAAAATAAAAACCGAACATCCTAAAAAGTAGGCATCCCTGCCCTTCAGACTGCGAGAGTTCCAAGAAAGGAACTACGTGGTAACAAGAGGGAAAAGAATTGCTGGCGAGAGAGTGTGGATAGGAGCGAGAGTGAGCTCATCTCAGACCTCAATTGGGTGGATCTCTAGGTCCTAGGTTTAGTTCCATGTGCAACCTGACGCCCTACCATCTTTGTAGGGAATTTCTTAATGCGAGGGCAATACGAGCCGTACACTTGCCGATCTCTACCTTCCTAATACTAGGGCTTCAATCCTCTGAATTATTCCTGGATTGTTCTTTTAGAGTCCTTTGTTTTGCCCCTTTGATCAGGCTATAAACACAAGTGTACATGTAAGTAGCAGTCGCCCTCAATAATAACGGCTTGTACCTGTCCCCAATAAAGAGAGACTTTGCTGTAATGGTAGCAATTTTGTAGTTGATATAAATTCCGAGAATCCTTCAAAAACTCATTTTTACAGAAAGCGAAGGCAGTTTTGGCAAGGAATCACAACCACCAAAGATGAAAAAAGCCAGAAAGAATCCAAAGAAGAGAGCTACTTTCCTGAACACCGGTACAAGTGCCAACGAAAGATCACAAGAGAGGAGAGAAGGTCATCGTAGCGGAAACAACCTCAACTCGAAGAAATACGAGGGTTTTCGGCGAATGGAGACAGCAACGATCCGACATGAGAAAAAGCCTAATCTGACTGCCACAAATATACTTTACCCATCCTTTTGAAAAGCCAGAACTGTATACATAAAGAATAAAAATTGTTCACGTCCGTTAAAGGCGGAGCTCACAACGGAAAAGCAGCCCATGAAAAATTAGGGTAGAGATGCTCTGCAAGGATGAAGAAAAACATGAAGAGGACTGAAGCCCGAGAAATGGGATTCTCTTCTCGCCCTGATTTTCGTATTGAGGCGACCCGTCGGTGCTGCCCTCTTCAACGTTTAGTACCTCTCTGCTAAACGGCTAGAGTGGGACGGCGAGGTGGTGGCAGCAATGCGAGCGACGCGAGCAGGGCGATGCTAGGCCGCTGGGCATATGTACCCTCTGCTGCATCTTACAGCACACTAAGAGGACCCGACTGAATTTCGGTTATGTACATTTTCCATTCTTCTACCTTCAACCTCATTGCGAAATCTTCCCTTACGTTTTGCCCAAGAAAGATTGCTCTTGTTCGAGCGAAGGTTATGAAAGGGTGCAGAATTTCCACCTGGGACAGGAAAACTAGGAAATCTGAAACGTTGCCTGTTCTTTAGGAGAGTGGATGTTAAGGCACTAACGCTATTCTCAATGACCTTCCGTTCTGCGCTCAGTCTTCCAGTCATCGCATCAATTGTCTTTAAATAGATCAGAAAATATCGCAGTTGCTTCAGCATCTCCACAACAAGGTATTCTTACCTCATCTGCTCGTCTTGTCTTCGGATCATCGCCACATTCACCCAAGAACGTGCCATCTCACCGAGCCCGTCATGATTTTCAAGTACCAAAGAATGTAGCTAGCTCATAGAGTTGTCCCAGAATCAACCTTCAGCGCAAAGTCTGTTCACTAGATTACGGTTGAAAATTTTTAAGGTTACTTCCAGTTTCATACAGATGGCTACCCTTGGCAGACCTTTACTCGTAAAGAACTCATCGGAGGGTATGGAAGGTTGTGGCTGTTCATGCTCAGTTCCGAAGAATCTCTGGAGGCTTAGTTCTTCCTACAATGGAGGAGTTCTTCGGTCCCTTGAGAGACACAACCAGTCCATATGCATGAACTTAAAATGAGAGGGGATCGTTTAAAATTATACGAGGCAATGGTTTTACTTTTTGCCCCTCAGAACAAGTTTAAAACGATATTGGAATCCATTCCGTTGCTATTGAATATTCATTTTTATCTGTAAAAATAACTTTATAGTTTTACAACGGAATGAATCGTTCCACTCGCGTGATGTTCCAATTAGAGAAGACGGTATGTCATGAAATAAAATGCTGAAGAGCAAAAAAGACAATGGATGGTTGGTGTTGTGCCGGCCAATAAATTTTCTTTGATCTTTCCTCCCGGAGAATCTGTGACGCAAGCATACAGAGTTACCTTGCCTAAGTTAACAACATGGCATTTTTCAAGTTGCAACCCTTGAAGCCACTCGCACAGCAGACTATAAGAGAAAGAATACTGGCAGGCTTGTCGCAGTTAATTGTCCCCGATTCTCATTTCACTTCTAGGCGTTTCGCAAGCCAAACAAAAGCGAAAAATAACGGGAGCCGTAATGGAATTAAACGCGGCTAGAAGCAGTTGCTCTGAAATCGTGCTTCATTCTATGCTTCATTGATTCTACGAGCAGATATTGGCGGAAAGCTTCAGTTTTCGGAGCTCTAATGGCCACGTAACCGAACATAATTCTTCGTTGGCTAGTGTGGTAAGTTCCCGAGGGAAAGCAAATCCACAAGTTGTCCACCAATTACGAGAGGAATGAGCGCTTTCAGATCTCTACATGGGTGCCACAAGCGGGACACTTCGCTCACATCCAGACAGCATTATCGCACTTGATAAACTCAAACGAGCGGGGCCAATAATTATTGAACACACAATCCTTCTCATCACTTGGGCCACACCAATTTGCATGGAATCTTGTGCACGGCGCTGGACTCAATGGTCCTCGAGCGACGCATGCGTCTATATACAGAAAGATTATATGAACGCGTGGCTCGAAAGGGGTTTACACCTTCAGAGCACTATTCTATAGGAAGCAATTGTCAGTTTACGTGACTATTAGAAATCCGTAGACAGCTGGCAGTCTGACACGATTACCTACGTCTCCTTTGCTCGGCGGTGATGGAGAGTGGAGCGTGTATTTTGGGAGACGCGAGCGCAGTGGGAGAGGGCGGCTTCTGCTTATAGTAGGAATCTGAAGGGGCTATTCTACGGCCGAAACTTATCGTGGATAACGGACTCTAGTGTGAATGAAAACTTTTAACCGGTCATGCGGCTATGCAGCAAAGTGTTTCTTTTCTTTGGCCACCACTGAATATAATAATCTATGAAAATAATGAGCAAGAAATCGAAGAACCATTAGAAGTGAAAAAGAACGGCAGATAGTTATTGCTCAACCCAATAGAATGCTATGGTGACAGAGTTCCAAACGGTTAGGGACTGCAAAGCAGATGCAGAGGGAAGATCAGGAAATAGAACGCTCACGTAGAAGGCTCGCACAGAGTTAAAGACTGTGACAGGTCCCCGAACACTTTTAACTTCTCTTTTGTACAAGCTTAGTTCTTCTTCAAATTCATAAGTAGCTTCACAGAGCACGGGTCAACGTCGTCTCCCACCAGCTAATCATGAGGGAGGGTTGAAGAGCTAACTCTTCCCTTATGCACACAATTGTTTTGTGAAAAACGTTGACAATTGGAAGGACATTTTTTTCTTCCCCTTTTCATCGAGCACGGTTCTTCAAAGTGTTGGAGTCGCTTTTAGTAGTGAAGGCCATTTCTATTTCGAATCTGGTTTCTGGTTTTGAGAATGACCTTCTCAGTCAGTTGGGATGCGCAAAGCGTTCAAATCAGTATTTCCTCCGACAATGAGTGAACAAATACCAAGCCAAATGGCAATGATCGCTTCTTTGCGATGCGCTACGCGATCGGCGTGATCCATAATAGTGCATTTAGAATATATACGACTTTCAGGGTATAACTTTAGCGCCGCAAAAGGGTCGCTTGCTTGACGTCTGCTCCGCGAGGTAGAGTATCCCATCCAACATCTCTTTTCCCTTCCTTTCCTTACAACGATGTCACGGTTAGTCCGATAATGTGACGAAGTTCACGAAATCTGAAACAAATGAAATTTACAACAAAAATTAGATGAACTTATGATACATCGTAAATGGCGCCTTCCGCTATCCCAGCATTAGACGTATTATATTACTCTGAGAACAGACTACTACTTACCGACATCTAGACCAATCTCTATACTAGCTCAGCATCTTTTTCGGTGAGCAGTATCTTCCAGAAACTTTCCAGCTCTCTGTATGTAGTGATAATAAATGCCGTATGATCAATAAGAACTACTGTAAGAGGCACATGCCTTTTAGCCGCGCTCGAGATTTCCTGGGAAGACCAATGTTGGAATTGAGAAACTGGAATGGGAATACTTCCCTGAACTTAACAAAATGGAGGATAAAGCATTTGCCGTTGATCAATCCTTTTTGGGATGCGGCACGCATTCTACTTCCATTTGTACATTCGTAGTGGTTTGAATGCGATGTGGCCTATACAATGACTTGCGGGGCCAGCCGATGTACAAGTCAGTGTTTTTATCCTCCCAGACAAGTCTGGTACCAATTAACCGACCCCGGAGGGATGGAAGGCTTGGTTGGCCCGGGCGACTCACGACCCAGGATTTGATCCCCGGACCGCTCGCGTGGTAAGCGTGCCACTTGCCACTACACCACTTCCTTGAACTTACCCCACTTATTGTTAATATATTTTGTTATTATCCTTGTTCTTCCTTGACAACTAAAGAGCACAAGGGATGCACTATTTGATGCCGTTTTCCGTCTGAGGGGAGGTACGTTGAATAAGCTCTCTTTTTAGGCACTTCGGATTTTTTTTGGATGTTTCAATCATTGGAACAGTTTATTTATTTACTTTTTCACTTCATTGAGAATTTCTCCGAGGTCATCTGAGCACCACACACATCACTTAACCTTCTGCAGAAACGTTGCCCTTTCAAGGTTGTGCAGCGGAACGGGTTTGGACATTTCAATGAAAAACGACAATGTCTACCATCAGTGATTGTAGTTGCTGTGATTTCATTCGAAAAAAATGCTTAACCAGTTCTCCCAGTGGAGGTATGAGTGCAATCGCTGAAGGTATGCATTGACGAGTCCTATAAAATCTATTCAATTTTTCGGGGTTATAGCGAATGAATTCTAAAGCTTTCGAAATTTGCTGTTCTATAGGCTCTGGATCTTGTAGGCATTGGTTTTGAATCGATAGCCAGCAATTTTTGAAGAATAGATTTTCCCCATATAAGGTCGAAAAAAAGATTGCTGCGTGGTTATGTTAGTTACACAAACGTGAGCATGAATGCTGACAAGCTGGGTAAGTATACCATGAAAAGCTGAGTTGGAATGAAATGGTGCCCCGGTAGCGTAACTGGTAAGCAAAAGGTGAGGGGTGCGGGTTCTAGTCCCGCCTGGGGCGAAAGTTTTGTTCACAACCCAGCATTCTTGTGAAACATTCGCAAGGCGAACTGCGGCCAAAAACAGCAGTCAACAAACAAAATTCCTTGCAGAAGTTTCACATAAAATCAAGCCTTCGATTCATCGTTTACCGCGGTTGAGTCAGCAGCCTGCTAGCTTGCCGACGTATCACTCATCTTCTTCATACATAAATAATGAGCAGTTTTTCTCAAACTAGGTGATGATAGACACCAGTTTTACGCATTTTTTGTTCTGCTGCTTTTAATCATAACCGCGTCTTCATCGACTCAGCCTCTGATTACTGTGGAACCAACCTAATTATAATTTAACAGAAGCAAGGGTACCTCACTCAACGCTCAGTGTCCTCGGTTCAGTTTTCTGTTTGTGCTTGCTATTCTATCAGTTTTACACTTAATTTAGTTCACTTAATTTTTTACACTGCGCGACGCGGGTTACTTATTGTGTTTTGGATCACCAAAATGATGCAATGTGCACACCTGCTCGCAATTATTGCTACTTTAGCGTACGCCTTGAAAAGGGTTGCGTTTAGCA